CCAAGATGCATTATGTAAAGGTACAATTCCCAATGAGAAATGTAATTGTGTTGTATACCTACAATGTACCAATAAAAGAATTTAAGGAAAAAAAAACCCCAACAAAAGCATTTATAAGCAGCTGATATAGTAGATGGGAAAGAAGGGAGAATTTTCAGGGTTCAAAGGTGTCCCTGGAAGGTACTAAAATGTCCCTGAAGTCCCAACAGCAGGTTGAGCTAGCCATGAGCAAGCAGTCTCTTTCCCAAGTGATTGATAGGATGCACAGCTCTCAGAAGCAGGGACTAATGTTGCTTTGTGGTCACCCACAGCATTACCAGCCACTTAGGCTCATAGGGTGCTTGTCATTGACCACACTGTGGGACTGCATAACCTTTGCTCCTTTTTCTCCAGCCCCATTGTGATTAAAATGTGAGTTAATGGATGGAGATGCTTGTTAGTGTAGGGATGCTAGGTAGGGATCTGTAACAGACCTAGAGTCCCAGATAGTCTAGGGACGCTAGATAGGGATCTGTAACAGACCTAGAGTCCCAGAGTAAACTACTCAACTCTTTGTTTACCTGGAACTGATATTCTAGGCACCACAATTGTTAAAACAAGCTGCAGATGTCTGCTGACCATCAATATGTGACAGTCGACCACTAACCTTTGTCCCCTTTTCTTTAATTCTATATGTTAACTGCCCCCTCAACCCCCTATAAAAACAGCCTCGGATTCTGAGCCAGTTGCCTCTCTAAGCTATTTTGCTTTGGGAGTGCCATCTGGCCCGACTAATAAAGGTCTGTTTTCCATCTTGTCCGGTGTGTTCCTTCCCGGGTGTTCTTCGCTGTAGTCAGCTCCTCGGAGCGTTTGGTAAGGCTCTTGGTCTTACATTCTGAAGGCACCGCTGGGATTCCTGGGTGTGCTTCACTAGTCAGCTCCTCGGAGCGTTTGGTAAGGCTCTTGGTCTTACATTCTGAAGGCACCGCTGGGATTCCTGGGTGTGCTTCGCTAGTCAGCTCCTCGGAGCATTTGGTAAGGCTCTTGGTCTTACATTCTGAAGGCACCGCTGGGATTCCTGGGTGTGCTTCGCTAGTCAGCTCCTCGGAGCATTTGGTAAGGCCCTTGGTCTTACATTCTGAAGGCACCGCTGGGATTCCTGGGTGTGCTTCGCTAGTCAGCTCCTCGGAGCATTTGGTAAGGCCCTCGGTCTTACAACACCAAAGGAGGGCATATATTTGGATAAAAAGGATTTATTTAAAGCTAGCTTCAAGGTGTTAGAGTGACCCATTTTCCTCACATCACCATCTTTCTGTTTACAGAAGGGCAAGGGTGTTTTATAGTAAGGAAGGGTGGCACAGAGAGGATGCAGATCTTCATACTTGAGTTATCACTTTCAGCCATATTTTTAAGCTTCTCTTATGGAAAAGAATCCAGACCTCTGGCCTTATTGGGCTATCAGTATATTTTGTCACTTTCTAAGGATGAGTGGTGGTGGTGGTGGGGAAGCTGTTCATACCCTAGGCCTCAAAGCCACTTGTCTTCAAAGGAGAAAAATTTTTTTCAGGGCTTGTTACAAATCTGTATTCATTTTTTCCTCCATTTTACAGAGAGCCTGTACCATTTATATAGGTTCCAGTTTCTCTGCAGCCTTCCCAACACTTGTTTCCTTAAATTGTACTGATGATAGGTGCTGTACTAGGAGGGAAGGAAAATTTCACTGCGTTTGTACTTTATATTTCCTTAATGGCAGAGACATTAAGCATCTCATTCTCAGTTCACATGAAGGGTGGATGGAGGGAGTAATTTTGGTACAGGGATGAAATCAGGACCTCCAAATAGGATATAAGGGAAATATTACAATTCCCAACCTGGTAGATGTCTGATACACTGAATTCGTGTTCTCTAAAACTGAAGAATGAATTCTAGGAACAACAGAGGTTAAGAGTAGGAAAGGTTTATTGAGAGGATGGCTCCTGAGAGGTAGGAGGGGTCCTGAATGGGTAGTCAAGGATCCCACTTTACAGCCAAGTTTTATAGAGCCCAAACCATGTGGGTACAACATGGCTTAAAGCTGTAATTAGCCAATACAGTTACAAGTATAGTTGCTTAGGTAATAGTGATCCAATAGGGGAACAAGTTACACAACAAGTGTGCATGGAAAGAATAAAGAACTCGGGTAGGTGATGCATCTGGGGTCTTGGTTGCCCACTGAGGTGACTGATGCCTAGCTAGAGTTTATTAGACCAGGTGTTATCACTTATCCCTTGGGGAAGTATGTAGGCCTGGTCCTTTTGTTATTTTCTTGAAGTCTGGCCTCCAAATGATGCATCTCCAGTCACAGTTGTAGTATGTGTTCAGCTTGTGTCTTGACTCTCTCCTGAGGGCCCACCCGTGTCTGACTGCCTATAATATTTCTGCCTAACATAGCTGTCTATAATAATTTCACACTCCAGCACTCTATCTCAGTTGCCAGTTCTCAGTGTCAACATTCAGTGAGATCGTAACTGGCACTGCAAAAGGCAACTTAAATTAGATTTTTTTCCCCAAACTTTCTCTAGCCTAGAGCATAAACATCTACCCCCACCTCTTCTCAGCCCTGATGAATGGATGGAATATGCAGATCTTGGCATCTGGATGTCAAGCCCAGTTTCATTCCCCTAGGCATGGGAGATCCTGGGAAGGACAGAAGTCTGAACTTGTCTATTGTTCCATTGTATTCCCTCCCTGACTGTTCCTGGAGAGTAAAGACCCCAGAACATGGTAAGAGCAGTGAGATGGTGATTTGAGGAAAATGCCCCCTCTCATCTCTGGAGTTGACTTTCAGTAAATCTTTTTTATTTTTACCAAAATAAATGGCCTCCTTTGATTTGTTCAGTGTTGAGCAAATGAACCTGAGCTTGTGAACCTAAGTAGCCAGTAACAAGCTGATGGGCCACAGGATCACAGTCACAGGTAAGAGATGAGATGTCACATTCAGCAGGTGGGTTCTCTCATGTCTGTCTGCAGCAGCTGGGTCTGCTTACAGCACTCCTCATCATTACCCATGCCATGCAAACAAATAGTTTCTTGTCCTGAATGGCTACTATAGGGCAACAATTCCCATTTTTTTTCAGCTGTCTGCTCAGAGCTCTGTCATTGCAAGTCAAACTTCAGGAGATTCTGTTGCATGGAAGGAGGGTGGAGCAGCAGAGGGTGTGGGAAGCCCATGGACACTTTGAGCTCTACTCCAACTGTCTCATCTTCACCTTGACCTGGTCACAGAGCCTCTGAGCCAAGGCCACTCAGGTGAGTGTACACGGTTTGTGTGGCACAATGCCATGTCTACCTGCACCCGCATGCCTGTGGGATCTGTGGCCACTGCACAGCTCTCTGCTTGATTCCTGGATTTGTTTACTGCAGTTAAAATCATCTGAGGTCTCCTCACCCAGGGTCTCTTGCTCTGGGTCTCCTCAGGCCATCCTTCAATCTCCACTGACCATGTCGATTCTCTCCCTTCCTCACTCACCCTCTCACTGCTTATGGCAGCTATGGGTTCTGTAGAACACAGTCCTCCCCTGAGCCCTCTCCACCTGCTTGTTCCTTCCTTCCCATGCCCACCTTAGCAGGCCCCTCATTCCCTTGGAGAATTTGCATGGGACATGTGTTCATGCATTCTAAATCCTATCTTACTGACTATAACTGCTGGTGTGTTTGCTCCTGATGATCCACTGGGAAGTGAGCTCTTCTAACAGGGGTATCTTGATTCCATCCCTTTGTACCTGGAGGGAGAAAGGAGGAGTTGAGGAGAAACCAAGAGAGAAAGCAGGAAAGTAAAGTGGAGGATAATATAAGATATGTAACTAGACAGGATCTTCTGACTGAGAAAGAATAGAAATGAGACCCAGCAGTCAGAGGATATGCTGCCAGAGGTGGAATAGGGTGTGACTTGACATCTGTTATGTCACCTGGCTCCTCCTTTTCCCTGCAAAGAGGGTGTGCTACCACAGAGGGAGGTAGATTTAACCTGCTGGACAGAAAATCTGGTAGGTGGAGATCAACTTCATTGGAAGATGTGCTTCTGGAGGTGGAATGGGGTCAGGCTCAGCCTTTTTTGTATTGGCTTTCTCTGTTCTTCCTTGGATGAAATGCATGCTGCTACTCTGGCAGGTGGTTCTGTCTCAGCCAGAAGATACAGAGGTGGAATGGCATCAGGCTGTACCACTTCTGAGTCAGGTGGCTCCTGGTGATCTTGGAAACAGGGTCGGCTACCACACTGGGAGGTGATTGTATCTCAATGAAAGGATAATCAGTGACTAGAGATCTGCAGCTGCAGGAAGATGTGCTGATAGGATTGGAATGGAGTGAGATTCTGCCTCTGCTGAATTTGACCACTGTTGCACCTTGGATAGAAATCTGCTGCCAGTTGAGAAGGTTGTTCTCTCTCAGTGGATGAGATCCAGTGGTCAGAGCTCCTTCTCAGTGGGGCTCAGCCATGACCACTCCACCCATGCCCTCAGACACATCCTAGGCCTCCTCATCTTTGGCTTGGCCTCACTGCTCACTAGGGCCTCCAGCTGGAATTTGTACATTTGTGGAGAAGTCTGAGCCCAGCATGTTGATCAGGATGTAGGACGTAGCTGGTTAGTCTCGCCATCTGGGGATGGGCAAAATTCTTCAGGGTAGTGACCACTCTACATGCAGCTGGGCACTGAGCAAATGCATGAGGCTCATGTGAGCAGTGTGCTCACTGCTTCTGTACAGCCTTCATACAGGATGATGTGGGCATGTCTGACTGGGATGGCGTGTTGTGAGAGTGGTCTGCCTTCACAGGGACCTGCTCTTCACAGACCCCAGCAGCCCCTGTGCTGCCTGGTTGCCTGTCTTCCTCCTCCTGAAGGCAAAACCCTAGCCCCCATCCCTCTACTAGCAAACATGTTGGGACCTGGGATTTCTCAGTCCCCTTCAAACTCAGTTTGTCAAATGTCCCCTACTCTGGAGACAAGAGCCTTCTCTCTTTGCCCTAAGCCCACTTACTTCTTGATTTTCTCATCCTCCTCACAGTTGGGGTGAAGAAATCCAGACATAGAGGAGATCAGGAGAGGGTGGCCTCTTAGCACCCTCTTCTAGTGCCCCACCTGCAGGCAGTCTAGGGACTGTCTCCTTCCCTGATGAGAATGGAAGCAGGGGAAGGCTGAGGTTTGTCTGTTTCTCCCAGAGTTCAAGGCTAAGTGACTGGGAACGCGCCTGCACATGATAGGTGCTTCACATACCTGTGTTCAGTGAATGAACCCTGCCATCTCCTACCCAGATATCTCAGTGGGACCAGGGCCCCTCACTCTACTCTGAGGGGGAGTCTCCACTCTAACTCTATCTAGGCAGGGAACTCCAGAGTTGGGATTCAGAACTTCATTCAAAAATGGGGAAACTGGGGCAGGAGATTTGGCTCAGTGGCACCTGTGTCTACCTTGCAAGCACAAGGTCCTGAGTTCGATCCCTGGTACCTGCCCCCCCCCGCCCCCAGTGGGGAAACTGAATTGCCTGAGGACTCAGTTAAATGAGGCCACAGGTAGAGAGATTCTTCATGGTGGAGGGGAGGTTCCACAGCCGTGGGTCACTGACCCTGACAGACCCTGGCCTGGGGCAGATGCTTCTGAGCCTCAGCCCTCTTGGACCCAAATACATGCTCTGATGGTGATCCTCAGATCACCCCAGATTTCACAGAGCAAATTGGGACATGAGGAGCAGAGCATTCCAAGGGTCTTCCATGAGTTGGCAAGTCCCCCTGGGCTTGGACATAGAGCACACCTTAGGAACAACAGTTTTAGCACCTATTGGGTAGTGGTGAGCTTGTAGGTGTAGGTGTATAGGAATGTGGGCATGAAGAAGAGGGTTGCCACTTCCATGGGCAGGCATAAGATGATTCACTAGCTTCTGCACTGTGCCTGCTTTGATGGTCTCCAACCTGTTGGGCTCATATGGGCTTGAGGCTGACTCATTTTCACACTGGGGTGGGACCAAGGAGGCAGGGTTCAAGCATGGGAACAGTAGTGCCTGTGTCTCTCACACAATCATCAGTGCAAAGATTCTTGTCTGTGGCCTGAGTGCAGGGTGGAGGGGTGGGTCTCCAGAGAACTCAGCAGAGGAAGGGCTTCATGCAGAAGTTGTCATTCACAGTGATGACTGTTTCTACTGGACACCCCTAAGATAATGTCCACTCTGTGGCCTGGAGCAAGTGACGAGTTTTGCCCGCTGTGGTCTGCAGTGCTAAAGTACTATCCACAGAGTGGCCTCTGGTACTAGTATCAAAGCAGCAAAGGGGCCTATGCTACTAACAGTGGACCCCTAATAGTAATATGTACACAGTGGTGCCTAATACTAATTTTATATCCACAGGACAGCCTGTAATATAATTTAATGTCCACAGAGCAGAATCTAATACTGTTAATGTCCACATGGTAGTGTCAAATACTAATTTTGGATCCACAGAGCAACCTCTAACACTAATAGCCACAGAATGGCCTCTAATAATAATTCAGTATTCACAGTTTGGACTTTAATACTAGTTTAGTATATACAGAATGGCCTGTAATACTTATTTAAAATCCAATGACATCTATTACTAATTTTATATCCACAGAACAGCCTCTAGGACCAAGATTTACAGAGTGGTCTTTCACACTAATCTCCACAGAGTGGATTCAAATAGTTAATATGCACATAGCAGCCTCTAATACTTATTTCATATCCACAGAGTAGCATGCAATCTTACCTAATGTTCACTCTGTGTTGTCTATTACTAATTTCATATCCTTGGAGAGGCCTGTAATCTTAACAGCCAGAACAATATTATTATTGTTTATTATTATTATTGCCTCTAATATTAATTTAACATCCACACAATGGTGTGTGACGCTAATTTACTATCCTCAGGGTGGTGTCTAATACTCAATATCCACAGAACAACCTCTACTACAAATTTATATCCACAGGTGCCTGTAGTATGAATGTAATGATCACAGCCCATCCTCTAATACTTAATATCTAGACAGCATCTTCTAATGGTAATTTAATATCCATGGGGGCAGCCTTTAATATTAGCTTTATTTCCAGAGTGTCCTCTAATACAGATTGAATATCCACAGACCAGAATCTAATACTAATTTAGTATCTACAAGCTGCTTATAATAGTAATTTAACACTTTCTTACTGGCTTGAACCATTGGTGGTACAGGCATGATTGTCCCATCAGGTAGCTTGAACCACCAGTGGTCCATCTATGACTGTCTCATTGGGTGTCATGGGACAGTCATGCATGTATAGCTCCACTGTGCATGTGTTAATACAGTGGCCTCTAATAGTAATTTAATATCCACAGTGCTTCCTCTAATGCTAATTTAATATCCACAGATCAGCCTCTATTATTGATGTCCACACTTCAGCATCTAATACTAATATACACAGAATGGCATCAAAGCTAGTACAACATTAACTCTGTGGCTCCTAATACTAATTTAATATCCACATTGTAACTCTGCATTAGCAACATGATATCACACTGTGGAGTCCTAATACTAATAAAACATGTACACAGTGGCTTCTTCATGTGAATATATTTTCCACATACTGGCCCCTAATACTGTGATAGTATCCTCACCATGGCCCTATATTAATTATATACTATTTATTCTGTGACATATAATATCTACACTGTGGACTTTTCAGACTAATATAAAATCTACATAGCAGCATTTTTTTGAGACAGCATCTTAATATATAGTCTAGGTGCCCTAGAACTCAAGTCCTCTTCCCTTAGCCTCTCAAGTGTTTGGATTACCGATGTGTTCCACCATGTTGGCTCCCAGTGGTATCTTAATATAATATTCACAGTGTGGGCTTTAATGGTCATTTAATGTCCACAGTGTGACCTGTAATACTAATTTTATATCCACACACCAACTGGTACTACTAATATATCTCCTGTGACCTCTGATACTAACAATATCCATGCAGTGCCCTCCAGTACTCATGTACAGTAATACTCAGACATTGCCTTCAGCTACTGGTATACTATCCACACAGTGGTCTCTAATTGTAATATCCACAGTGTGACCACTTCATAATGCTATGACAGTATTCAGAGAGTGGCATTTCTAATGTAATGTCCACACAAATGGACTCTGAATATTATAATTTCCTGATAGTGGCTGTTACAGCTTGTATCTCAATGTCTCTCCAAAGCCTCCTCATGTACTCATAGGTGGTGCTTTTAAGAGCTGGCCAGACCTAGGGCATGTGGTACTGGGGTTAAGAGTGTGTGGTACTAATTAGTTCACTGATTGGTGCTGGGTGTGACTGAATGGATTTACTGAAAACAGAAGCCACACCCTGGGCATGGGTGGCACCACCCCAAAGGTGGGTAGTCTGGAAAGGATAAAAAGAAAGGTAGGCTTGCTGCCAGAAATTAAAGGGTTTTGACATGAATGTCCAATTCATTGTCCAATTTCAATTTCACCACTTGTCTTACCTAGGAGAATTCTTTTTTCCATTTGGATCTAGTTTTCTGAAACTTGTTGTGGGACTATTTTCCATTGCCATGACCTTGACAGAGATAAAGAACATATTCATTTTGTTTCAATGCATATTTTCTGTTATTTTGTGTATCTACTTAGGGATGGAAGGATTGAGTAGTATAGTAAGTCTATATTCTACTTTTTGAGGAAATGCCTAAGTATTTCACCCAGAGGCTGCACCATGTGTGAGGTTTCCAGTTTCTCTGCATCCTTACCAACACTTGTTACCTTAAATTATACTGATGATAGGTGCTGTAATAGGAGTGAAGGAGAACCTCACTGTGGTTGTAGTTTGCATTTGGTTAATGGCTGAGATGTTAAGCATGTTTGTGATTTCATGTGGAAGGAGTGGGGGTATTTGTTTCACCTTCTGACTCTGGCATTTGTTTCAGTCATCAGTTCTCGATGTCAACGTTCACTGAGATGATGGCCCATAGGACCATTCAGTTAAGAGAGGCAAAGTCACATCCAGCTGTTGGGTTCTCGCATTCCTAAGTTTGTAACAGCTGGACCTGCTCACAGCACTTCTTGCCATTCCCCATGCTAAAAATCATCAACAGTCCTGTCTTAGTTACTTTTTGCTTTGCTGAGACAGAATACCCAATGACTGAAGTTAAAGGAGGGAGGGTTTTTGCTCTGGGATTTTTCAGGACAATCACCAGTTTTCACTGGCTGTGTGGATTCCCACCTTTTCTTTCTTGCCCTTTTGCAACTCAGGGCAGCCCTAGGTTCTGCAGACAACAATCTCCTGAGCCCTCTCCACTTGCATGTTCCTTCCTGTCCCCATTTTATGAGACCCCTTTGCCCCTGGGGAAGTGACTTGAGACCTTGTGTCCATGACTTCCAAATCCCATCCTACTGCCTTTGTTTTCTAGCATGCTTTTCCCTGTCACCCTACTGGGAAGTGAGCTCTTCTGGGCAAAAGATGGGAGAATAAAAGCACATCCCATTTTCAGTGAGAGATAGGCAGAGTTAATCCTACACTGTAGTCTGGCCAAAATCCTCTTTGTTGTTGTGACAGAAACCACCTGTGTCTAACCACTAAACAGGAATTGGAACTTTATTTACTTAACAAAGACCACTAGGGATGAGATAATGACTGACAAAGGTATAAAAGGTGATGGACAAAGAATGCAGGGTGCGGAATCTGACCAGACCAGTTTCTGGCAGTCCTGCCTGCTTGCGAGTAAACTTATTTTACCCGAATTCTGTGTCTCCATGCATTTCTTTCCACAATTCTGGAACAGCATTAGGGTTCGATTCTGGGTTTGTGTTCAGGTTTGTGTTAGGATTTGGGTTTGTTTTTGTTCAGGTACAGGGTTAATGTCCTGGGATATATTCAGATATATGTTTGGTTTAGGATTAGGGTTAATGTTTGGGTCTGTGTTTTGCAGTATGGTTGGGGTTTACAGTTTAGTGTTCAGTTTCTGTTTGAGTTAAGGGTTCTACTTTGAAGTTGTGCTTCATGTATCAGTTTGGATTTATATTTTGTGTGGGTTGGTGTTTAGCTCTGTGCTCTAGTGAGGGTTTGGGTTAGCTTTAGGGGTTGGGTGTGGATTACTGTAGGGTTAGGGTTAGGATTTAGGGGGTAGGGTTAGGGGTTAGGGTTAGTGTTGGGTTTAGGGTAGGGTTGGTGTTAGGGTTAGGGTTAGAGGTTAAGGGTTAGGGGTTAGGGTTAGGTTGGGTTTGGGGTTAAGGGTTAGGGTTAGGGTTTAGGGGTTAGGGTTGGGTTTAGGGTTACTGGAGAATGTTGCTGCATGTGGTGGAAGCCTTGGATTCAATCCACAACTGCCCCAGATACATACAGAAAGACAGACAGACAGAGAGACAGACAAATAAAAAATAAAATGAAAAAGGCAGTGCCAGAGAAGGCCCTCCCTCCTTTCTGTTCATGGAGCCCAGAAAATCCACATGGTACAATATACATTGAATATGAAACTGGTGGAAAATTGCACGAGTTTGTTTGAGACATGGGATGCAGTATCAGCACACCTTGCCCAGAAAATGCTTGCCCTTATCTACATGTGTATAAGTTCATTTGGCTACTGGGACTCTGTAAAGGTAATTTCATCAAATGTATCTGAAAACCATACTCTCTGAATATTGCTTTAATAAAATACAGGTACTTCTAGGAAGTAGACTAAATAATTCAAAAAATTTTAAGAATTGTGTAGTATTCTTAACTAGCTAAAAACTACTGGAGATTTCAAGTGGAACTTAGCTTTTCTTTTCTTACCAAGAATATAAGATGAAGCAGACATCCCACCCCACCCTTGAGTTTCTTCTTATCCCTAGCATGCATGCCTGACCATGAACTTCCCTCCAGCTTAAGAACAGTGATATTGACAAATGACTCCCCAGTGGCAACTGTCAAGGAGACAGATGTCAAGGAGAACCGATATTAACCACACTACTCTGCCTACTCTGTCGAGTCTAGGGATGGCTGATGCTTGGCCATCTGATGCTGTAAAAAGATATTCAAATTGAACATGGATATTCAGACTGAACATATTGAAACTGAACTGGTGGTCCCTCATCACCACCAAGGTGAAACCTAGGTCCACTCTTTCCTCTCCATACTCTTTCCTCTCTTCTATCCCCACACCTTAACTGCCCTCTGTGGGCATTTTCCCCACTCCTGACCACTGCTAATGTTTATGAGAGTGGGGAATCACCAGTAAAACTTTTGGCCTTCCAGGATACTCCAAAAGATATCACAAGAACCCACTTGAAGCAGACTGCTCTGGTTACCTTAACAAAGTGCCTGAGGCAGGAATGATTAAACAACAGAAATTTATTTTCTCTCAGTTCTGGAGGCTGGAAGTCCATGATCCGGCATTGGCAGGAGGGGTTTCCATGAGACTTCTGTCTTTGGCTTGAAATGACCACCTTCTCACAGTGCCCTCACATGGGGAGTTTTCTAGGCCTGTCCCTGGGGTCTCTTCTTCTTCAAGGGACACAGCCTTGTTGGATTAGAGCTCTATCCATATGACCTCATGTAGCCTTAATTACCTCCTTAAAGGCCCTATCTCCAAATATAGTCACTTTGGGGATTAGGGCTTCAACGTCTGAATTGCAGGGCAGAGGAGACAGTTTGGAATGGGTCTGTTTGTGAGGATAAATTGGTCTGTGGAAAAAAATGCCACAACCTACCACTCCTCAACATAAATATCAAGTATATAGAAAAGACATTAACTGTCATAAACTGAAAGCCCTTTAGAAAATGTTATTTTGATTGTGTTGTTATGAAATCATCTTCAATTATCTAATATTATTTGTTTATACTTATGTTTCTTTGTAATTGAGATTTGTTTTTATTATTTTACAGATTTTCAATGTACTTGAGGAATTGTTCTATGTATACATTAAAATAACTTAAAAATTCTATTATGTTGGACCTAAGTGAGGGAGAATCATTTCAGCCACTTGGAAATGCAGAGTCCAATTTATCTTGTGATCTACCATCAGTATATTTATTTTTTTATCTAGTAAGAAAACTAAGGAAAAATTCATGAAGAATCTCATAAAATATATCCACCAACCCCATGCTAAATCTACTATGCCTGTGAGGATTACAATTGTGGGGCCTGCAAGATTTGGGAAAACTACAGGTGAGCACATTTCTGATTTCCTCCAGCATACAAGGGTTCTCTGAATCCCAGTGGTACATCCTCCAGAAACCAGCTATCAAAATTGACTCAGAAAGAGACAGAAAACCTAAGTAGACCAATAGCCATCAAAGAGAAGTGTATCCGTCTTCTTTTCATTGCCATAACAAACACCTGAGATATGAACTTATGAGAGGAAAGGTCTATTTGGGCTCACAGTTTGGAGGTGTCAGTCTGTGGTTGATGAGGCAGCACATCGTGATGAGCAGTGCACGGCAGAGCAAAGATGCTCCCCTCATGGCTAGTGAGTGAGAGAGAGAGACAGACAGACAGAGAGACACTCACAACCTCCTTTTGCCCCAACTTCCTTGAAGTAGAACCTCCCCCTGGGCTGCCTCTTAATAGTGCAGCTTGTACAGGACCACCACGGGCTGGGGCCAAGCCTGTAACATGAGGCCCAAGGACATTCTTGACCCAGGCCACATCAGGAAGGCAGTCAGAAATATGACCTCTTTCTGAACAGCCCAGGATCAAATGGGCTTAGAGAAAAAACACATCAAACCTTCAGTCAGAGAATTAAAAGTCAAGGAACACATTTATGTGTTTTTAAAAGCTTTTTCATGAGGAAGAGAAAAGATAGTAATCTTCCCAATTTATTTTATTTCATGCAATTAAAAATATAGGATATATGATCCATTTTAAATTTACTACTTTGATATCAAAACCTTACTAATATAATAGAGGAAAAAATGACAAACTATTATCATTTATAATTATAGTAAAATATCCTAAAAAGATACTATAAAATTTACTTTGAACAATATCTTAAATGAGTACATCAGTTTAAAATGTATTAAATATTTTATAAACGTACACTCCTACATTAATAGAGTCATACACTGAGTGACACTTCTCTCAATGCCAGACCATGCACACAGTGGTGGTTCTTGATGATGTTATCTAGTTGTATCATGGACATCCTAGCAGCAGTACTGATGATGGCTGTCTAAGAACATATCCCATTGTTAAATGGTGCATGACCATAGTTGAAAAAGTACAAACCAGCCGGGGGTGGTGGCAGACACTCGTAATCCCAGTGGCTCAAGAGGCTGATGCAGGATTGCAAGTTTGGGGCCATCCTGGGCAACTTAGTGAGACCTTGTCTTAAAAATAAATTTAAAAGAGCCTGGGATTCTGCTCACTGGTGCTGCCAACTGTCTTGAAAGTGCAGGGCCCCAAATTCAATCCCTGGTACCAAAATTAAATAAATAAAATTTAAGAACAGATGGAGTGGTGCTCAATGGTCGAGCACTTGACAAGCATGCACAAGGTCCTGGGTCCAATCCTCAGTAACTGAAGAAGAATTTTAAAGTGCAAATCAGTAATCTTAATCATTGTTGAAAAGGCAATTAGTATACTTTACTCCTGTAATGTTTGCATTTTGTATAACTTGAACTGTAGTTTTTGTTGTTAAGACAATTGTTGCAAAAATTGGTTGTTGTATTTCAAGATGTCATGAGCACAACATGAACAGTAGTTGGTCACAATAAGAAGAAAATGAAAAGAAGAGATACAGGACATATTTCAGAGAAAAATAATAGACTTCCATGACTGCATAGAGACTGAAGGGGAAAGACAAGTCTTTCCAGCTCTTCAGATGTAAAGTCTAACAATTTAAACTTCTTAACATAACAAAAGAGTCATTTTCATGTCAAGAGATGATGATATTTCCACACAACTTTAGAATATTGATATCTAGAGCAAAGGAGTAAATACAGACACAACAGTCTAATTTCTCATTTCATTGTTGAAAATATCAAATAAGGTCACTGAAGAAAAGTTGCCTATGAGCTATAAATCACTTATCATTTTAGGTATGAATGGGGCCGGGGATTTAGCTCAGTGGTTCCATCACCTGCCTCACAAGCACAAGGACCCGAGTTGGATCCCTGGTACCAACCCCCCCCCCCCAAATAAACAGCAAGGTACATATTAGGTATGAAAAAATTATTTCCTAAATGATTAACTGTATAGGGTGCCCTACCCCAAGTGCTGTGTGGAATCTGTAAACAGTTGGGAGTGGTAACCAGTGAAACAGGTTATTTCACTGTTATTTTTCACATAGTGCCAAAAACATGGCACACATATTTGAGGGTACACATGGTATTAGCACAGTGCTCTGAAGAATTTTGCTGCCATGTGAATCAGGAAAGGCACTTAAACATTGGTTTGGTTGTAAAACAAACACACACAGAGACACACACACACACACACACACACACACACACACGGGGCTCATTACCAGATCCACCAGCCAGAAACCTGAAGTAATAAGAACTGATCTTTGACAATTGTTAATTCAGTAAAATGGGGCAATTTTATTTGTCAAATTTGTTTGAAGAATATGGAGAATAGTTTGTTGTTGATGTCATTAAACTGAATCTGAAAGTGAGGTTTACCAATGAATATGTGAAATTAAACAAGTTCAATGTTTTATGTTTTGTAGTTGCCAAAAACCTTGCAAGTGAATATGGCTTAGAACACACATCAGTAGGAGAAGCTTTGAGAAGTGTACTGAGCCACCACCCAGAAACAGAGCTGGCACTTATGTTCAACTCGTGTCTTCATGAGGGAATGATGGTGCTGGATGAACTAACTGTTCAAGCCTTGGACCTTTCTCTGATGGACAGTGCATGCCATACTGCAGGGTAAGCGAGTAGGGTGAGGGAGATACATATTTCAAGAAATGGCTGAGTAGCAACCTCAGATACTGATCCTAAACAGGGGTTTAGGCTCTCGTAAAAGGCACAAGGTACTTCTCAGACATGGAGCAAGTTTGACCTGAGATGCAGAATGCATTCCTGATGCTCTGTAGTGAGGTCTCTAGGCTCCAGTGGAAGTCTTATGGCGGAGGGGACCATGAGTGAACATAGCTAGAGAATGCAGGGCCATATGTGTATGGATATATATTTAAATTTTCTGCTGAGGTGAAATGTGGCTTGAATACTCTCATGCCACATTAGCAAGGAGGCCATGCCACTCCCTGCAGCAACGTGAGTTGTATGAGGTCCTCTAGACCATGTGTGGCGAACCTGTGGTGCTCATTCCCGTGGGCTCCCTGAACCCTCTCCTTTGCCACATGAGCCAAGTCACCCTGGCAGCTGAGGATCACATAAGAGTTGATTTTCTCTAAACTAAGACCTCAGCATTCAGGTTTAATTGCAGTGTTGGCACTTTTCAATAAATAAGTTTTTAAAAGAAATAAGTGTTGTCCTGGTGTGGAAGGCAGCTTGTAGGGAGGACTACTTTCCTGGGCCTGAGGAGTCTACTACTAACTTCTCTATTACAGAATATATTTGTTGGGGCCGGGGATTTAGCCTGATGGTTCCGCTGCCTGCCTTGCAAGGGCAAGGTCCCTAGTTCGATCCCTGATACAAAAAAAAAAAAAATA